GTAAATGCCGCTCCATCTGAAAGCACGTGCTGGAGATTTACTACTAATCACAGGAGTGGCTTTACTGACGAGATGCGCATGAAAATCGCATTCAATTTTTTGCACAGCCCTATCTTACATATGCGATGTTTAGAAAAATTAATGTGATATATCGGAACACTTAAAGGGGTAGTTCACCTAAAATCAAAAAAATAAAAAAAATAAAAAGAAACAAAAAGTTTCTTTTGGGGAACGCAAAAGTTGTATAGAAACACTTTAAAAAAGGACATTTTCAAAATTTCCTCATGTGATCCATGAGGAATGGGGTGAGTAAATGACAAAATATAAATTTCTTCGTAAACTGTTCCTTTAATATGGTGGCTATTATTGTATGAAGTAAATGTACACAAATATCCATTAAAACTACAGAAGTTACTTAGTTAAGAGCAGCGAGTGATTCTCTATTTTCTGTTGTTAACATTATTAACATAAGAAATACACGGGTCCATTATATTAATGCACATCCGATATTTTCTTAACTGTTTACGTTCACTCAAGACGTAACTGACTGTTTTTACGTCGATACTCGTCAAAACAGCCATTCACACATAATTTTGTACCTATTTGCTTAAAACGAGAAAGAGAACTCAATTTGGTATTTGCGTGCTGTCTGAGAGACGGCTGGCTTGTGTGCGTGCTTCATGTGTGCGCACGCACAGAGACGACCTATGACAGAGCGCAAGCACAAGCATTGAGATCTCTTTTGCGCTGCCTTGCGCTTGAATAGCTTAAAATCACTTTAATGTTTAAACTGACAAGCCTTAAAAACCATGGGCGTCAGAACCATTGTATGGTTCCCACTTTTTAAGACCAATGATATTGGACCCACTCACTTTTAACGTCTCAAATTCAACATATAATTCAAGATATGTCTGTTCACTTTTTAGAGCGCCATCAGTCAAATCCATTCCACTTGAGGAATGCCCTAATAAAATAAATTCCACACTGCTGCTTCCTCAAATCCATTCCACTTGGCTCAGTTCAGAGTCCATATAGATTAAAACTCCATTCCGTGTTTTCACTACTCGCACCTTCTGCACTCCCGTGACACAGCAAGGTAAACAAAGCATCTTGGCATATCTGCTTGGGTGGGTCTGGCTGTGTGCTCACCTACTGTCACTAAACAAGCTGCTATTAAATTAATGTTCATCATTTGTTTGCCTGTTGCTTTTAAAGGCATCATATATTCTTTGTTGCAGCACTGAATTACAGTTACTGCTATAAAATAAGACACAAAATAAGAAATATTACTTTTGTAATATTTCAATATAAAATAAAAAAACGTATTTAAGAGAATTAAAATAGTAAAATTTTATAGTACAACTGTAAAATGCTAATATAATATATAATAATATTTCTGTATTTCTCTCTAAAACATGTTGCACATATATTCATTGAATTAAATCGCAGAATTGAGAATCAAATTAAGCCACGTCGCAAATTCGTTTTCATTACGTTGTCATTAATTTATAAAGTGCAGACACAGTATGTGTAAATCAGGCCTAACTGCACAATTATATGGGTAAACACGCTGTTTTTCTAATATAATTCATTTCTAGTCGTACACTAGAATTGTTGTTCAGAAAAGGGCACAGCCATGAACCCATTTGTATATATGTCACATCTTCTTAAAAAATGTTTTTATTTATCACAGTTCACCTCATTGCTGGATAATCACCACAGTATGCTCATTTTTAGTATTTCTAGAATCATAAAAATAGATCCCGGCCAAGTCTGACCACTTTACTGTGTCATACAGATGATTAGCCCAAACATTTGGCCCTCTCTTTCTCTTTGGAGTGTTAATTAAATCTGAAGGGTAGGAAGGCGCGATCATTAGCTGATGATAATTAGGAGTCAATGAGAGAAAAAGCAAACAATAATCGCCTATTGAGAGATTAATGATGTATTAACGGGAGAAGAGGCGAACCGTATGGCGAAAGGTCATCTGTGACGTGAGCTCTCTTTGGAAACAGGGAGGCACGACGCTGGGTTCTGTTTGTGCTTGTCAGTTAGCTGTCTCCCTGACCGCTGAATGGTGTTTGTACAGTGGAGGAGAGTACTTCCTGCATACGATTTCCATTTTATTAACTTGGAGTCAAGTGAGCTGGGGGTGAAGGTAGAAAATGATCCGGCTCTTTGTCAAATGCCTACAACCTTCAGGGAACTTGCTTGACATAAAGCACATAAAGGTCAAAACAAGGAGGTCTGTAATACCTGGAGAAAGCTGTCCATTACATTCCCATTCACCTCAGGCAGTTGCTCAGCCAGTACAGGACCCCTGGATGTGACCCCTAAAAACAGACCCCCAAAATTTTTTACAATATAATGAAACATTTGTGATTTTATATGTTCAGGGCTCTAAGAATTTGTTTCTACTGCTAGTTCAGATTTTTACTTGCCCTGTCAACAGTTTCACTTGCCTTAGCACAAAATAAATTATGAATATAAAATATTTTTTTATTCTAACTTATAATTGCATATTTTTTTGTTTTAAAGGCAGAGTAAGTGATTTTTCAAAACCACTTTAGAAAACTGATTCGGGCCGAATCGCAAAACAAACTTGTAGCCAATCAGCAATAAGGGGCGTGTCTACTTGTGATGTGGAGGAGAGAGCTTTCAGTGCATGGGACGGACATTAGCCGAGCCGAGCGACAGAGAGATAGAGATAAAAAACTAAAGAGGAAAACGTCTGCGGAAGGATAAGGCAAGAAGTAGGACCCGTGTAAATATCGGATCAGCTTTCCAGCGCTGGAGAGAACTCAAGGAGCGGAGGCCTGCGATCGGACGCCGAGGTTGCTTTGTTTCTTCTCAATAGGTGAGTAACAACGTGTGTCTACAACAGCTAAAGTCTGCCTACACTGGACGCGATCAAACGACCGTTGAAAACCATTTGAAATTTGTGTCAGCACGTCATAAATAGAACCTGGCAGCAGTTTTCTGTCGGGGATTTGTTGTGCCGCGCCGCTCACGTCCGTAGACATGGTGTAACATTGGTTTTGCTTTGTTTCACAGAACTAATCGTTGCCTGGGTTGCGTACGTATATGTGGGGCGGAGCTATCAAAATAGGGGCAAGACCCTTTTGGGGTAGGGGTGTGTTTGTTTTGGTGATTTCAAATATCAACATTGGCTACCAGAAATCACTTACTCTGCCTTTAATAATTGATGATAATTGATCAACAAATCAGTATATCATATGTGAGCAAATTCAGCACATAAATAATTTACATTATTTCAAATATATCTAATTAGAACACAGTTCTTTGAAACTGTAATACAATTTCACAATATACATATTTCATAACATGCATATTGTCTTTTTAGAGCTGAATTCTGTTTGCGTCAATTAATCACTATTTTCTTGTTTAACACTGTAAAGCTGCTTTGAAACAATCTGTATTGTATAAAGTGCCATAGAAATAAAGGTGAAGATGAATATTACGGTTTCACTGTATTTCTGATCAAATAATTGATAAATGCCAAACGTATGACCTGTATTGTTTGACTATCCCCTTGTGAAGGACCCTCTTCCTTTAAATATTATATACTGTATATATATACACACACACACACACTGTGAAAAAGTAAAAGTGAATTTTCTCTGAACTTCTCTGTAGATCTTCCGGACCTGATTTCCCTTCAGTTTTAAATATCTGGGCAAAATACAATTTTTGTGACTCTTGGTGAAATTGTTGGCCCAAGCCCTGCTGGGTTTGTGACTCACTGCGCTCGCTGTGGCTGAAGGCTCCTCTGATGGATCCTCCGAGGCGCACCTCTGCGTCCTGCAGGTCTTCCCACTCCAGATCTCTGACGGGGATGGGCTGCCGGTGGAGCTGATAGCACAGCTGCTCATTCTGGGTGATGGCCCGGGTGACCACCAGCACGTCCTGAAACAGGAACACATGCAGCTTCTGCAGAAACAGACAGACAGACAGAGAACCTCAATCATGCTTGATGCAGCTGTATTCATTAACCTGTCACTGAAGTCTGGGTAGGGGAAGTGACCCTAACAAGCCCATGCACCCCATAAACCCATTTTATTTTGAAATTAAAAAAGTCAAGAAAGCATGAGAGAAAATATTGGTCTCACTGCAAATGTAAATACTTGATCCTATTATTTTACATTTATTCTGTTTATTTCTTGAGTTATTTAGGATCAAGTGCTGCTACTGTCCCACAGTCAGATCAAAACTTTGCTTTAAGAGAAGCCCTACGAAGATTCTTCTAGAATCTGGTGATCAAACTGGCAACTCTTGAGACTTTTGTTTTAAATGAATAGATTAATAATTCAATTGTTTTCTTGCTATTAAAAACATCCAGATCAAAAGTTTAGACTGATTATTTTGGTTATTTTTGGATGCTGAAAAAAGTCAAATACTAAAACTGTAATCCAGTTCTTTCATTTAGTTCTGCCGATCAAAAATGAATTAAAACAAATTTTTTTTTTCATGAAATATTAAGTATTTACATAAGAAAATGGCATAAATTATAGAAATGTACCACTCATTTAGGTTTGCCATCAAATAAAGCAATTTAATTTTGTCAGTCGATGACAAAACTTCAATCTTCCTCTTGGATTAATCTTTGTGTTCATACCCACTTCACTGGAAGGACTCTTCAGATATCCCTGAGAAAATGTGTAAAATTCTGGCAGGACTTAACAGGGTCACCCCAATGTATTACTTATGTCATTTCTGTGAGTGAAGTTTGCATTCAGAATAACATTTTCTTCTGTGATGAATGAACACCAACATTTAATTTTCTTTTTGCAATTTAATCCAACTATGAAAAATTTGACTGAAAATGCAAAACAACCACTTTTATTTTAGAGATGATAAATGAACATTAATCACTGAATTAATTATGCATCATAAAATGAGGACATAAATTGACATCATGGCTGGTAAAATGTTACGTTTGGAGATTTCTGTGTTCATTCTCACTTGCTAGATCTGCAATAAACGTCTTCACCAAGATTGCCTGGTCCTGTGTTTTTGACTGACAGTTTATATCCTATATATATATACAGTATATATAAGACCTTTGACTAAAATGTCTGGTTCACTTTGCAACTTCTGGCCAAGAATCACTCACTTGCAGTGGAAGAGACTCACTGATCGACTGAAGCAACAACCAACCACAGGTCATTTCACAGGTCATTTTGGAATATATTAGATCCATAAGTATTCGGTACAGATTATTTCACATACTCAGATTTACAGTTATGCTCATAAATATCTGGTTCACCTGCTACTGAGTGTGTCAAACCAAATAATATTTTTATAATACTTTTTAGAATGGGCGTCGGAACCATTGTATGTGGGTGGGACAAGACACACACACACACAGACACAGACAGAGACAGAGACACAGACACAGACACAGACACAGACAGACACAGACAGACAGA